GGGCACAGGGCAGTGGAGGGGGCACATCCCTATGGGCACCAGGCGGGGGGCACAGCTCCATGGGCACAGGGAAGTGGGCGCACAGGGCACAGGGCAGTGGGGGGCACAGCTCCATGGGCACAGGGCAGTGGGGGCACTGCCCCACGGGCACAGGGCAGTGGGGGGGGGGCACTGACTGTGGCCTGTCCGCAGGCTGCAGGGGGCTGAGGTGGCTCGTGCCCCTGCCGGACTCAGCCAGGAGCCCCCCTCCCCCGGGCAGCGGGCGGAGGTGCAGGGGGGCTGCCGGGTGCCCCACGCTGGGTTTTGTTCCCCTCCAGCCTGGGCTCCTGGCGGATCGTGACGCGGTTCCAGAGCAGCCCCCGGCAGCCGCAGAGCGCCGAGTTCGAGGTGAAGGAGTACGGTGAGTGCAGGCCTGAGCGCGGGGCCTGGGGGCATCTGGCGGAGCCGCTCCCCCGCGGGGAACCCAACCAGTCCCCCACCCCACCCCCGCCCTCCGTCTGAGCCCGGCCCCCTGTCCCCCCAGAGCTGCCCAGCTTCGACGTGCTGCTCACACCCAACAAGAAGTTCTTCTACCTCAGCGACGACAGCCTGACCGTGACCATCAAAGCCAGGTGAGCCGGGGCCCGTCAGCCCCGCCTGGGGCGTCCCGCGGGGGCAGCACAGGCTGGGGGGCAGGGCGCCAGCTCCTGGGCCTGTGGCCCTCGCAAGCCCAAAGCGCCAAGCGTGCACAGGGGCAATCCCATCCCGGGAGCAGAATGTGGCCCTGTCAGCACTGCCATGCAGCCACCTCTGGGGGGGAACCAGCAGCTACACAGCACTCGGAGGGGGAAGCAAAGGGGCGTGCCTGCGAGATTCTGGTGGCCAAACGCTCCCGTCGTCTGTCCTGGTGACTCAGGTTCGTGTTCAATGAGCCCGTGGACGGCTACGCCCTGGCGATCTTCGGGGTCAAGACAGAGACTCAGAAAATCAACCTCCAGAACTCCCTGCAGAGAGTTGAGGTGAGTTGTTATCACATGGATTATGGCAGCACCTACAGACCCCAACTGAGATTGGGGCCCCGTCGCGCCGGGCACTGCCTGACCCCGCCTAAGACCAGGGCCCCGTCATGCCGGGCGCTGCCCAGACCCCGCCTGAGACCAGGACCCCGTCGTGCCGGGCGCTGCCCAGACCCTAGCCGAGATCAGGGCCCCATCGTGCCGGGCGCTGCCCAGACCCCAGCTCAGATCAGGGCCCCGTCGCGCTGGGCGCTGCCCAGACCCCAACTGAGATCAGGGCCCCGTCGTGCCGGGCGCTGCCCAGACCCCAGCTGAGATCAGGGCCCCGTCGCGCCGGGCGCTGCCCAGATCCCAGCCAAGATCGGAGCCCTGTCGCGCCAGGCGCTGCACAGACAGTAACTCTCCCTGCAGATAAATGACGGCGAAGGCCACGCGACGCTGACGGGGCAGGTGCTCAGGGAAAGCTTTGCCACGCCAGAGGAGCTGCTCGACGCCTTCATCTTCGTTAACGTCACCGTCTTCTCCTCCGGTGAGCGCTGGGCCGGGGGGGGCTCGTGGCAGGGCCTGGAGCCGGGCAGCGTGTGTGACGGGAGGGACAGAGGCCTGGCGGGTGTCAGCTTGGTCTGAGGACCCTTCCCCACCTGTCCCGGATGGCTGCCCCACAGGACCTCAGCCCAGGGCAGCAGCCCAGGCTCTGCTGGCCTCACGTGGGGGCCATTTTGCAAGCCCTGGGGGACCTCAACCAGCCCCCTGCTAGGTCAGGTTGCCCCTCAACCCCCACCCCTAGGGCACAGGTGGCCACCAGCTCAGGCCCTGGGGTTCTGGGCCGGCTCTGGGCTCCTCCCCGGCAGTTCCCTTAACGTGCCAAGCCTCAGGCCTCCGTCCAGACACACCTGTCAGAAACTTCTTGCATCCGAAGAAGTGAGGTTTTTACTCACGAAAGCTTATGCCCAAATAAATCTGTTAGTCTTTAAGGTGCCACCAGACTCCTTGTTGTTTCTGTCAGAAACGATGATGATTCCTGAAAATCTGATCTCATCGTATAAAAGAAAAGGTTCTTCCAACCCCAAAGGGTCAGCCACATACCCAGGTCCAATGATAACTTAGAGCTTACCCAAAATACACACTTAGAGCCAATTCTAATTAACTAAGCTAAAATGTATTTAAAAAGAAAAGAGAGAGAGAGAGAGTGTTGGTTAAAAGATCAATCTACAGACAGACTTGAATTCAATTCTTGAGGTTCAGATGCATGGCAGAGATGAACTTGTAGTTGCCAAAAGTCCTTTTAGAAATAGTCCAGAGGTTATAGTCCAATGTCCATATTCAGGGTGGCTCCAGTCAATGACTGGGGATCTCAATCCTTGTGGCTTAAAGTTTCCCCCTCTTGAAACCCAAAGCAGATCTGAGATGAAGTAGGATCATGTCCCAGAGTTTTTATACATTTCCAGCAGTCTTTTGGCCTGAGAAAACAATAGGCTTAATTCTCCTTCTCCCAAACACCCTGGCAATTAGCACAGGGTCATTTACCCATTAACCGTTCAGATCCAGGTTACCACAACCTTCAAAGAGACATAGAGACAATAATACTATTTCCCTCAAGTGTCTCCCTAAATACTAATTCTCCTTTTTCTAATCTTTGAATCAAAGCTCTAGCAATAGACCAGACTTGTTTGCTGCCATCCCAAGCCCTGAGCACCCAGCTCCCTTCTACCCCTAACAATGCGGCTGCATTTCCCAGCTCTGCTCAGTTACATACTAACCAGTCTCTAATGTTCGGCCCTGGGTCAGGTCAGTCTGGGAGGTAATAACTCTTTCTGGCCCTGTCACCTTGCCATGAGATATTATATCACACTCATAACATCACACTCCCCATTTCCCAACGCGCCGTGTCCTCCCCCAGGCGGAGACATGATGCAGGCCGAGAACTCGGAGGTCAAGATCGTCAGCACCCCATACAGGATCCGGTTCGTCAGAACACCTGGGTTCTTCAAGCCGGGGATGCCCTTTAACTTCAGGGTAAGGGACGCGCCAGCGTCAGATCCTCCCCCTGCGGAATCGCTGGCAGTGGGGAGCGCTAGGAACACAGCCGTCGTCAGCCCGGCCCAGCCCAAGGCCCATCTAGCCCGGTATCCTGGCTCTGACAGCACCACTGCTGTGGAGGAAGGCGCCCGGAGCCCTGCAGGTGGCAGCGGTGGGATTCTCGGCCCCAGGGAAGCCCCCTGCTGACCCCTGGGAGTTTGAGGTCAGGACGCAGGGGGTCTCTGGCCCAGCCAGGCCTCTTGGGCCTGTTCTGTCCCTCACTGATCTAACTAGGGACGTTCTCATTAGCCACAGGTCGCTTTTCTCAGCCCTGCCCAGCTCTTTGCCTCAGAGCTATCTTGTGGCAGTGAGTTCCACGGGTTAATGACAAAAGGGAGCGGGAAGCTCATCCAAGCCGAGGGGCTGGTGACCCATCTGTGGGACAGACAAGTCAAGTCTGGCTCACAGAGTGGGACCGTCCGGGGCTGGGATCAGAGCATGGGGCAGGACGGCCAGGTCTGTGCTCTGCCCCAGCCTTGCAAAGCCCCTGGGCCCCGCACGACCCTCTGGGGGCAGGGCAGCACCATGCTCGCCCTGTGACGGGCGGTGGGCGGGGCAGAGGCTGAGGCCAAGCAGCTGCCACGTGGCTCATCCCCCCTGTGCTGCTCCACGTCACCCTCTGCCGCTCTGCTCCCCTGCACCAGGTTTACGTCACCAACCCGGACGGGTCGCCGGCTGCAGACGTTCCTGTTTGTAGCGAGGACCAGAAGCGCATGACCAAGGAGGGCCTGGCCTCCATGGTCCTCAACACCCAACAGAGCGTTAAACACCTGGAGGTCAAGGTACCTGCTGCTCCGGGGTGTCTGGGAGCAAGTGCAGAGCCCCCTGCTGCCCCTCACTCCCGACCCACAGCCCCCGCTAGCCCAGCCCTGGGCTTCCCCCCCCAGCTCTGCCGGTGCCCCTCACTCCCGACCTGCAGCCCCAGCTAGCCCAGCCCTGGGCCCACCGCCCCCAGCCCTTCTGGTGCCCCTCACTCCCGACCCACAGCCCCTGGCTCCCCCCAGTTCTGCCGGTGCCCCTCACTCCCGACCCACAGCCCCAGCTAGCCCAGCCCTGGGCCCACCGCCCCCAGCCCTTCTGGTGCCCCTCACTCCCGACCCACAGCCCCTGGCTCCGCAGTGACATGACG